ATATAATATATAGCAATATAGAAGACCAAACTAGAGAAACTACCTTGTTGTGTTCTCGTATCATATCTACAATAAGTCTATCAACTTTAGAAGGGTTGGCAAGTAACTTTGGAATAGGAATAGTATTAGAACTACTCATGCGTCTCCCAGGATTCATAACAACAAGGTCAGCTTCAGTCTGTAGTAAATGAAGAAAAAAGAACATTCATTTAATAAGACAGGACACATTAAAGCCCCATTCCCCACAAATTTCAGTTGTTAAGAAAAATCTGATTTTTATATATGTTATAAAGATTTGTACATATAATATGTAATTGCTAGTTTAACTGAATTTAGACATTCCTAAAACATGAAAAAATGTAAAATAAGACTGAAATTTGATTTTTTTATTTTTGATTTTGCGATAGGTCTGCGAAGGAATATAGTGGTGCTGGAAACATTAGTCTAGCCTAGCCTTACCTTGATTTAGGTACTGTTATCAGACATTCAGTCAAAAATCAGCCAATAGGATATTTTCTGTTGCTGGTGTTAACACTTGTGAAATATATTTCTTTGGAATTATTTTAAATTTGTTAAAAGAGTTCTGACTGAGATTTTGACAAACAAACATATCTCAGACCTATTCGATCGACCAGTGCGTGGATGCAAAATCTAATCTCACTAGAGAGGGCGCACTTTATCGACCGTATAAAGTACACAGAAAAGCGAGAGCATTCAAGCGAATGTGATCTACAACCTCTGAATTTGCTAAGTAACGAAGAAGTCGTTGAAAAATCCACGAGAAATAGTCTTTATTTCTCTTTTTTCTCATTTCGCATAAAACTAAAATTTATGCCACTATTTTTCCATGATTTATAATAATTAGAGTAATGCATATGAGTTTTATTTTTTTTAATCCTTTTTTTAGTGACAATTTGCCAGGAATGGGGCTTTAAAACACTCATCATCATTTAACTGATGAATAGAGCATCAATATATTAGTGGCATTTCTAAAATGATTACAATAAAATCTAACTACATTGTCTCCAGGCAAAATGAAAAAATAAATATAAATAAAATTGGTATAAATAATTAACATAAAAAACAACTAAAATTTAAATAATAATTACCTAAAAATATATTTTGTACACCAATTTACAGTACTGTATATTTAACAATAACTACATAGCTCCTGAAAAAACACATGAGGACAAGTAGATTAACATACAAAGTAAGGAATGTAGTTGGTTCCTATACATGTACTATAAAGGGAACAGCACTGTTACTATCATAAACATGGAGTCAACCTGGTATTGGACAATGCTAAATTTTCATAGGCCAGTTTTACTGAATGCGTCTAATAAGAGACAGAAAGTTAAAATACTATTTAGTTTACACTTACTTTTTTCCTTTCCTTTTCCATCAATCTAAATTGTTCATAGGCTCCTTCCAACTGGACATGAAGTTCAGTTGATGCACTGGGTTTTCTCAACATTGGGTGAATATTATACTGTCCTGCAAAATGCAATGGAGACTGCATGGTACGGTGAATATCACGCGAAAACAGTTGAGCATTTGACTGATGCAAAACTGTGTTGTTGATATGATGGTTGTGATATTGGTACAGTTCTTGTTGGAATGGCTTTTCAGATTTACCTTGAATCCCATCTAAGTCTTGAAAGTGAGTAGAATGTCCATTTCTGTGTTTTGGCATAAAAGAATTTGGATGAAACTTTGGATGATGTAGCAACTGTTCATGGTATTGGTGCTGAGCAGTTCTTCCTTGTTTCTCAAAGATGGCTTGGTAGCTTGACAAAGGAACACTAGAGTGTTCCTCTAATGATTGCTGATCACATTTAAACCTCTGCTGAATGCTTTGAAAGTTATCTTGATAACGTTTAAAGTATGGAGTAGGCATTCTGTCCCTGTCTTGTCTGTCAGGCAGTCTTTCATTTGATGTGACTTGTGCATGATAAAGCTGGTCAAACCTGGAGTTATTACTACCGTACATGTGATCATTATCAGAGCTACTTATAGTTTGGAAGGTCTGTGGTAGAAAGGCAGGGCTGGTACCTGGGACTGGGAATGATGATGAATCATAAGGATTAGGGGAATTGGAGGCTGACGAAGAGAACTCAAAGGGAGAGTTCACACTAAAACCCCTCTGATCAACTCTGGGCTGTGAAAAGCCAATTCCTTGATTGGATGGGTTTACAGCAAATTGTTCATTTGCCAAGTCAGACTTATTTAGTGATTCAACTGAGGTTAGACTGGTGGATACTGGTGACTCTTCAATAGGTTCACCATAAACTGAGTACAAAATGCTGTTTTCAATATTGATATCACTGATAATATTCAGCTCTTTCAACTTGTTTATAGCATCTTGCTGAGACACAGAATCAGTGGATTTCAAATACTGATTTTGGATGACACCTTGAGCTGAACCTAAGAAAAAGCAGATATATTTGAATACATTAATAATTAAAAACAATAATGACGATAAATGATGATGGCACAGTACTAAATTATAATAATAATATGATATTATTAATAATAATATTATTAAGTACTTAATTTCTCCAGAATTTCCATTATATTAAATTGATATACTTTAAATTACACATTACAGGCACCTCAAATACTGTACATCAGTGCTTGTGGTACACCCTGAAAATATTATTGTTTTTTGTACTTAATGAATAAACAAAACCATATACAACTACCTGGACCTTGAGCATATCTGGTTTGTTGATCATACTGGTCTTGAAAATGGGAAAAGGTGTTTGCCTTTTCAAGTCCAGGAGGGACAGAGATAGCCAATGTGTCAGATTTTAGTAAGCTATGTCCACCACTTGACCAATTAGGGTTCTCAGATGGCTGAAACCTGGTAGATATGTTAACATAAAAAAGGGAAGTTATTATAGTTTATATCTTTCTAATTTATTAATTAGGATAGGCCTACATCACAACTGACAAAACGTGTTGAGACCCATGAGAAGATTAATCCCTGGTGGGACTATGACCACCTCCCCTTGGAATCATCACAGTGCCAAATGTAATTTTTTGCTCAAAAGGTGTTAAAATATGTAGTTGAATGAATTTTTCTTACTTTGAGACTGCTGTAGTTGTTGTGATACAATGTTAAAAAAAATTAAGTGTCCTGTTAAAAGGGGTTATTTGACCATTTGGCACATTCAGAGAATGTCCCTGTCCCCTTAATAGGGGTATAGTGTTAAAAGATATTGCCCATTGTTTCATGGAAAAGTGTCCCCTTAATAGGGGTGTCCCCTGAATAGGGGTGTCAAAAATGAGGGGTTTTACTGTAACTTTATTGCTCAAATAGTGTGAAATTTTATGTAATGCTAATTTATATATTATAAATCAGGCCCCTAGTTGACAATATGAACACAACAACAACAGTTTGTCAACACTTCACAGCATACTGTTTGGAGAATGCAGCATCACTGCTGGGATTTCGGAATTCTTTTGTGGTTGATGCCTCTTCACTTGGATGGGCAGCTGTTCCTTCATCAATAATTTGTGTTACAAGATCATCCAAAACACCAAATTGATCAAAAGAACTGGCTTTCGTAGGACTATTCATCAAGTCACCACCTCCGCCTAGGCTTAATTCGTCTTGGTTGCCACATGACCATGGGGTGAAGAAGTTGCATCGGCCTCCAAGTCCTTGTCCAGCCTCCTGTTTCTGTGGAAATGCAAAAATTGGGGGCTGAGGTAAGGAATGTTATGTTTAGGGCTATACTATGGCAGTGGCGTATCCAGGAATTTGAAATATAGGGGAGGGGGGTGGCCGAGGGAGGAATTTTTCCAGATTATTGGGGTCCATCAACGTCCTAGACCAAATCAAATTTGAATGCAATTTTTTTATGTTTTCCCCATTTAAAAAAATTTTCAATAATTTATCAATGAGCACCTAGGACCTCTGAACCGCCCTCACCCCAACAAAAAAAAAAAAAATTGTCCGCAATGGTGCTATTGCAACCCCTTAATTTGTATTAAGAAAAATAATTGTTGTATTGTATCTGTCTCTTATACACATCTAGATGTGTATAAGAGACAGGTCCATCAACGTCCTAGACCAAATCAAATTTGAATGCAATTTTTTTATGTTTTCCCCATTTAAAAAAATTTTCAATAATTTATCAATGAGCACCTAGGACCTCTGAACCGCCCTCACCCCAACAAAAAAAAAAAAAAAATTGTCCCTCCTTGCCCCATCAAATTCTTGGAACAACCGCCGATATCATTCTTACCGTCACCAACGCATTTATTTCATCGTTAAAAACATTACGCCTAGGCCCACTAGATATAATACGATGGCAAACTCCCTAAAAAGGACCCATTTAAAAAATATAGAATACGATGACAAAAGCCAGCCCAATCGTTACGCCACTGAGGAGCAGGCAGTTTTAGCGTAGGAAAGGTAATATTCATTCTGTAGCGTAGCTTATCCAACTGAAACTTCGTAATTTAACAGAAATGCGCTAGCCTAGCCTACGGCCTAGGCCTAATTAAAATGTAAAATGATAATAAAGTAAATAATAATAGGCTTTAATATCTTATGCCTCCTGCCAGGATCATCATCGACATGAGCCCGATCCAAAAGTAAAGTATACACAGCAAGTAAGCAAGCAGGCAGGCAGTCGTTCCACAATCGATCTGGGTTGAAATTGTGTAACAAGTGTCCATTATTAGATCATTCACAAAAGAAAAGTTAATCAAGTTACCTGTTGCAGGTGATTAACCATTATTTTATTGCAAATAGTTGATCAATGCACACGAAGTCTTCTGCAACTTCAGCTCCAAAAAAAAGTTTTGTTTGGGATGGTTGATGGCAGCGCAACTTTTTCAAGCGGAAACTCGCAGTTGTTGCGGAAAAACTGGCTGTTGTGCCAATGTAGTTTCCGTCGATCCTCCCTAACCTATGTTAGTTCTTTGTTATTTTATTGCTATATCTTTCAACGTGTCGAACTGGAAAATGTTAAACCCTACGAAACAAAGACTGTCCTATCATTTATCATTTAGCAATTTCCTAGGCCCTAGTGATAAATTTTTTCCAATATCAATTCCAAAATATGTGTCCGTGAAGGGGAGGGTAGCATTTAAAATGAACAGCCTCATCAGACATTCGCGCTATGACGCGATGGGTTTTTCCTAGCGTACGCTACGCGTGCGTACATACTTTTTCATGTGTTTCTAGTATCTTTGATTTCTCAAAACTCTGTCTAGAATATCTGATTTTATTTGACAAATACATGTGACATGAATGACCGGTCATGATTACATCATATCATAATTATAGGCACATCTTTATATGGGCATACAACGGGTTTTTTTCAAAGAAAATTTGATAATCTGGACAGTCACAGAAGACATAATACCAGCCACGTAGATTCCAGGGGTGGAGGGGGGGGGAGTATTTTCCGAATAGGCCTACTGTTTAAAAAAATCATGTTTTCAAAGTGTCTAAAGGACAGTATTGATATAACGTTCACATGATGGGCGCATGGGAGGGGGAGGGGAGAAAGGCGGGGGACACGTCCCCCATTTTAAGGGGGTTAGACCCCCACGCTTCAGCCTGAGTACTTTAACGTCTGAATTACTATACCTATAATACGCATGCTTTTGTTATAATTTAAGAGAAAAGGTATAGCCTAGTATTTTCGGCACACGAAGTAAATACATGAAAGACAAAAAATGGATAATGGCTGTATATTTATTAAGCGCATATTACAATACTGTAGTCAATGAAGTTCTATTTCCTATGGTACAATACAGATTAATTAGATCTCTATGATAGCCGAAAATCGCTGGTAAAAGATCATGGTGATGTTATGATGATGAGTTTTACTATATAAGAATGTCTTTCCGGCCAGCTTGAGGTGGGCTCGCGTCTTCGAAGTTGGTAAAGTAAATAGATCACAGACAATGTTTTTAACTTTTATTTTCTATGCTGGGGCGAGGCGGGGAGGGGGTGCATATGGTGAGAGCGCACCCCTTAAATTGTATTAAGAAAAATAATTGTTGTATTGTATTGTTGATATATTATTTTCATCATTATGAACATAGTACCGGTATGATTTTTAAAGTATGAGAGTGCAATTTCCGGGCACCGAGAGAGGTCAACAACTCAGAATCAACCATGTTGGGGTTGAGGTGATGGTGGACTCTCATGCAGCCCCTGCCAAATCCTGCATCCGCCCAACTTTGGT